GACCTAATTTTGGCAGGAATCCATCAATCGGTTCTTGAGATAACGCGATCACAAGCTGTTTATGCATACATAATGAGCCCTGTGACCTTTGACCTTTAACCTCATGACCCCAAAATCTAATCAGTTCATTGGCTCTGCAAGATACATACATGACCAACGTTTGGCAGGAATCCATCAATCGGTTCTTCAGATAACGCGATCACGAGCTGTTTTTGCATACCTAATGAGCCCTGTGACCTTTGACCTTTGACCTCGTGACCCCAAAATCTAATCAGTTCATCGGCTCTGCAAGATACATACATGACCAAAGTTTGGCAGGAATCCATCGATCGGTTCTTCAGATAACGCGATCACAAGAACGGGACGTACGTACGTACAGACGTACAGACGTACATACGTACGTACAGACGTACAGACGTACGTACGGACGGACGGACAACCCGAAAACATAATGCCTCCGGCTACTTCGTAACGGAGGCATAAAAAAGAAGTGAACGACACGTACACTGGCAAGTTTCGAAGATAGTGATTATCATGTAGTGCATAAAATGAGAAATTCCTTTACTCACCTGCTTTCTGTAAGCTTGATCAGGCGCGTACGCAGGATTTTTTCAAGGGGGGGGGGGGGGGTTAACATTTTTAAATCGGGCCGAAAATTTCGCAACGACTCAGTCAGCCGCTGAAAAAGTGGGGAGTAGGGGACACTTTTTTTGGGGGGGGGGGGGGGGTCTCGAAATTTGAAAATTTACACTTTCCTCCGTTAAAAAAAAAAAAAAAAAAAAATACCAAAGGGGGGGGGGGGGGTTCAACCCCAAAACCCCCCTGCGTACGCGCCTGAGCTTGATTGAGGGTACAAATTCAATAGAATACAAATTGTTACAATTAGCTTTAACTGAAATTTTATTTTGCGAATCAAGATTTTCACTTTTGTTAAATCTTGACTTCGAAAGAAAATTAGTCTGATAGCAACAAATAAAAATAAACATCATTATGCAATGAAAATAAAAATGCAGCACAAATCTTATAAAGCGCATCTTCCAACGCAGAGGTCTAGGATTCGAATCCTATTGGTCTCGATTTCTTGTCGTCTCGATCGTTGTTGTTCTCGACCGGAGACTTCCTTGTAAATTAAAGTAATCAAACGTGTTACATTTTAGTCCCGGAACCCCTAATCGTGGTCCCTTGCATCATACTTAATTAATCTACACGAACGGTCATGAAAACCTAGGCCCAAAACAAATCAACATGATCAAGGAAAACTTAGCTGAATAATGCTGGCTGGCTATTTTTATGGGGGGGGGGGGTCTTAAAGTAGGCAATAACTATTAAAATAGGGGCACGGTAGGTTGACGGCCTCCTCCTCAATCTCCTCTAAATCCGCCACTGTTTGGGATTAGCAAACAAACGTTAAGAGAATTAGACAAACCGACACCGATCCCTCGACTAAGCGCACTCAGAATTATAAAGATGAATGTAAAAGAGCAGGTGTTGATTTATTTAACGAAATACTTACATATATGCAGCGTTGCCATGCTTCTAGCGCTTCTAAAAGTTAACATAACATTTGCTGTCGTACTTATACTCCTTTTCCTTCTGTTTCCTCTTACATCATGTAAGTATGGCGGCATCACGTGATCTTCTTTTCTGCTTCTGGAGTACCGGCCTTAATCTGCAGCTATCCTCTCATTTTTTTGGTGTGTGTACTGGTGCAGGAATTGATTTTCCGGTTGGGCTTTTTAAATTTTGAGCACTATCTTGCAGAGATACTTTGCAAAAAGGTTTGAGCAGCAATATTATCACTTTGAAGCTGGATATGAATATTGACACGTTCTTGGAGTCGATTCATGAATAAAATCGGAAGTCAAAAAGAGTTCGACGTACTCAATACGAGGTCATCCTTCCCGAAAATTTGGTAAGTTAAACATGTGTATACGAATTGGCGTATCGCGATACTTGCGTTCCATAACATCTTCAGTAACAAATATAATATACAGACCTATCCTGGCTCTTTTTCTTCTTCTCCTAATCTCATAAAAGTTTAACAGTATCCATGATTTTCCCTTTAAATAGCTAAAGACTAAATACAATTAATACAGATGAAGAACAAACAAAGATGGAACGAACGAACGAATAGAGAGGGAAATAAGAGTATATTCATAAACATATTCTTTTTAAACTAATATACACTCTTACACAATTTTTAAAGATACCAGCGTGTATCAGTTCCAAAAACCATCTCCATTTTTATTTCTGCCGAGTCATCCTCTGTTCACGTTGTTTTAATGATCTACAAATCACCTGCCCGTGCCGTATCTACCAAAACGTCTTCACCAAACATTTCTTGTTTGTCATCCAGAGAAAATGCTCCTGTTCCTTATACTTTTATTTTAACGACTGGATGACAATAATGCTCTATTGGATATCGGATACAGTCTTATAGTTGTTAACAAGGGAGCAACAAGTGATAATGTCATTGTAGACACTCATTGGTTGTTTGTTAAAGGGCTCTCTTCTCCAGCCGAGAAAGGATAAAATTATTGGCTAGCTTTAGTAGATATCTAAAGAAGGGCAAAGTGCGGTTTCCGTTTTCGCAAGGAGCAAGTGAAAGGAAACCAAATAAATCTACTTCCAATTTTAGTTCCAAAGCTTGAAATATTCTATTTTAACTGGCATGACACATAATCAAGGTGCATACATGCATAAATAGATTTAGCTTATGGGTACATACATCTGTAGATACAATAAATGCCCAGCGTGCAGGAAAATGATAAAGTGCATTTCTACGACAGGTTTACTAATGTTTGATGAAAAATGATCAAAAACTCTACAGAATGTTTCCAAGTTTGTCAAGAAAATACCTAAACTGGGTCAGACATTGCGATATATTACCATGTATTCTATGTCATTAGCGTTTTTTCGACTTTTTAGTGAGCATATTTTTTTTATGGCCCTCGAAAATTTGAAAATTTGCACCCCCCCTTGAGCGCGGGGGGGGGGGGGGGATCTCCCCCAAAAGGTAAAATTAACGTGTTTTTACACGTTTCTTCCCAGGGGAGGGGGGGGGGGGGGGCGGGCCCCGGGCCTCCCCTGGATTCGCCACTGTCATGTATAGAAAAAGCAAAATTCCTTGATTGGAAAACGAAATGACATAGGATCAATATTCAGTTCAGATCATTGTAACTCGGCTTTTAAAACCTCACTAAATTCATTATATTAATTGTCTATTCCGGACTGGATTAGGGGATGCATGAGGATGTAAGGGAGTGGGGGAGGGGGCAGGGAGGAGGTTTCCGCAAAAATATCGGAATAGCCCTATGACATGTATAGAGCTAATAAGTTTACGATGACCCCCCTATCCTTAAGATGGATACACGCCTCTAATATATCGCTGAAAATACTTGCTGATAGCCGAAGAATCTTTAGAAAGTACACATTAGATGGGGTTATAAAATCCTGTTTTTAATCATATCAATAATTCATTCCATTTCGAAGTTAAAACACAAATAACCTTACAAATGGGAAAATTCAAGATAGCAATCTACCAAAGAAACAAAAACTTATGTTGGGGTTCGCGATGATGGATAAATCATCCTGTTCCCACCACCGTCATTAAAAGAAAGCTACCTCATTAACCACTGACGTTTGGGGAAGTTCCAGCGTAGCACCCCCCCCCCTTCTCGCCCCCCCCGTTCCAATGGAAGGCTCACAAGAAGAAGAAAAAAATCATTACAACACGCAGTGGGATCTTTGGGCAGCTCAGAGACATTCGCCCTTCATCAAATGAGGAAGATGGGAGACCCCCAACCCCTTTTTTCTATGTCTGGATACGTCATTCCTCGTGAAAATAACCAAAACAAGCACAACATCGTCCTCACCAATTTTCATCAACGCTTATTCTCACCATCACCCATACAAATCTTTTGAGAAGAACACGAAACACAGACACTTAAAGCACGAAGAATCAATATCCATTTTCTTCGGGAGGCGGTGGGTAATCGATTGTGGCAACGATCAATATCAAAAAGAATGTTTTATTTCTTTCAAGAGGTGTTGTCGATTGACATAAACAGATAAAGGAAGGCAGAAGTACGGACGAGATCAGAGAGATTTGAAAAGAAGCAGGGGGCGCATTTATGATCCTGCGCGAGTTTAATACAATGCCTGTCTTGAATGATCACGAAAAACATCGAGTGAAATTAAAACATGTTCAGTTGGCTGGATAGCCAGTTAATGATTAGCACATAATACTTTTGAGATAATCATTTTGAAAGGTGCTGCAAAAGAGTACAAGTCAAATTTAATTTTCTTGCAAAATTGCACATGCACGGGTAATCATTCCAACTGCGTTATTAATCACGCCAATAAAGGCCCTGAAGACGTGCGCCATTGTAGTCTTGAGACGCAACGTCTGCGCTTTTTGTGTGTGAGCAGACCACCTCCTTGATCCATCTAGCTGTACATCACATGGTCTCCACGAATAAAAAGAGAATTCATGAGATGAAGTCGTGGCAGGTAAAGTGAAGCAGGACACAATCAGTAATGTGACTACGGGAGTTTACCCCTCCCCTCCGACAAGCAAACAAAAAGAAGAAGGAGGAGAAGAAAAAATGAAGAAGAATTAGAAGAAGAAGAAGAAGAAGAAGAAGAAGAAAAGACGAAGAAATCATGATGCTTTAGGCTTACCTATTTTTTTCCCTTTCTTTAAATATTGCTTTCTCGTCTATTTTAAAACAAAATCTCAGTGTATACTGCTTACAAAAGATATCATTGTCTTATTTACTTCTATGGGTAATACCGTAATTGTAAAAATACCTCCAAATCATACATACATATCTTTTGTTACACACTAACAAATTCCATAGAATAATCGTAAACGGTTACCATAGCTTACCGTTCGTCTGAACACGAGAGGGAGTCTCGAGACTGCGCAGTATCACACGTACTTTTAATCACTAAGGTGTGTGGCCGAGGACACACTATATTGCATATAGCTTATGGTGTGGAATGGTGCGGAATGGTGTGGAACTTATGCCAATCTCAATTTTGGTCTTTATTCTAAACCAGAAGATTGATATCGCAAGATGTTGAAGGAATATTATCAATAGTGTATAAACTGCTTTATACTGAGGTAAGGTGATATTTAATTGCATTTACTCTTGTTTATAACCTTCTGCATTAATCTGTAATAAATGATCATTTGGTGTAGTATTTTTTTTCGCTATCGTCCTTTCCTTCATTTTCATCATTTTTGTTTCTTCTAATCTTTTTCTTTCTTTATCGTCTTCTTTTTCTCCTTGTTCCCGCATCCTCCTTAAACTTTTCTCTCTTTCATGCTACCATATTAATTTTCTGTTCCTCCTTAATCTTCTCCATCGTCTTCATCTTTTTCTATATTAATACCTTTTCCATCGTAATGTTTTCTTCTTTCAATTTTAATCCTATTCTGTTGTTTCACCTTTGTTTAAAGTGGCTCACATTAATACAATCATATCTTCCGCTTTTGTATACGCTACTCGAATTCAACGCTACAATATTATATTTCCTATTACGTTTTAAAAGGAAGGTGTGTCGACCAAGATTATACTTTTGCATGAGGATTCTTTCGCAAAAATAGATCACTTTAATACGTACGCAATTTAAGAACGACGATACAGAAAGATATTAAACGAAATCTTGAAAAACTACGGAATGACAAATCACTCCATCGTGAGGCCTTAGCAGACATATATATTGTACAAACCGTGTTGCTTGCACTTATATGCAGGCACGTAGCCAGACTTTGATGTTGTTTTTTTTTTTGGGGGGCACATACATGTAATCGATCGAGGTAAAAAAAAAGGGGTCTAAAAAAGTTCAACTGATCTTGGATTTTTTTAATTTATTTATTTATTTATTTATTATTATTATTATTATTATTATTTTTTTTGGGGGGGGGGGGGCACGTGCCCCCCGTGCCCCCCTGTGGTTACGTGCCTGCTTATATGTACGTTTACTTAGGATGAGGCTAACCACAGTATTCGTTGAATCTTTCGCTTGAATTATGTATATCATTTTCATATTGATGATGTATTTATAGATATTTAACATCAACCGATCATAGACATCGAAGAAAATTTTATTCAAAGCATTAGTTTAGTGCAATCGCAATATTCTGAAATAGTTTGCATTTCAAAATGCGATTTCTTACTAATATATTTCATTTGTTTTTTTCTGAAAGAAGTGAAAATAAGTGCAAAAACCAACTTTTGACCTCCAAATAGGAAAACGAAAATGTATGATTTGTCAGAAAATGTTAGAAATGTAAATTAGTTTAAATTGTAATATTCACTATGCAAACTATCTTCCCCCAAAAATGTTTTTTAAAGCATATTCAAGAGCTGAAGAAAAAAGAAGGAACATTTAAAACTATATGGTATGTGAACGATGAGGGCAACAAACCAGTTGATTGTACAGTTTTCGCAACGAAGGTTGGAATAGTTTCAGCTTCATAGAATAAGGATACAACATAAAAGCGACATTGTTCGCAAAAAGAGATATCGTCAAGAAAGAAAAACGTCGCCCCCCCCCAAAAAAAAGAGAGCAAAACTAAATATGCAAAGACTACGATAAGAAGTGATGTATCCATGAATTTATTAAAGGAGGAGGGATCCCTTCAGAAGGGGAGTGGAAATGCATGTTGCTGCTGCTGTTAATGTTGTTATGATTGGATTGTTTATTTATGGTGCTTGCCATTCTAGTGTGAATATCATGTGGGACAGTGGGAGTCACACGTAAATTCGCAATTTGAATAGCCTATAATATATCCCATATAAATTAATCGCGCTCGGTTTAATACGTAAACATCACTGTTATGTTCGCATTGTTATGTTCGCACTGTTATTGTTGCATAAATAAATAAATAAATAAATATTAAGTGGTAGACCAAAGAGATATTACACATTATTGCTGGTATCTCCTTGGGTAGACAAGGCTATGAGAATTGCCTTAGGTTGACTTTTTACGAACTTCTTCGTGATCGTGTTTCGTACACCCTATATGGTGGGTGCCGTCGACCACTAAATCAAGTTGAACGGTGCAGTTGTCGGCATCATGCCTGACTATAGTGTTTGTAAAGTAGAGGGCTTCTCCTTTCCTCATTTCTCCCCATCTCTTTCGGTCTCCCTCTGACTGCGTCTCCTAATCTTCTTTGCCTCTCCATGCTTTTCAAACGGCATTATTAACTGCAGCCTAGAGCAGAAATATCCAACCGCTGAGATATTTTCAAGAAATTTTAGCTACATTTTGCGTTGTGTTGGACTTCATATTGCTCCGGTTGTCTCATTTTCGCTCGCTGGACATATATATCAGACTGCAATCGGCGGATTAGACGACACTTGGTAGTAAATTTTTATGTGAGATTGCTTTGCTAAATATAGAATACAAGAACATTTTCCATATCTCAAACTATCATTGATACTTGATAATTAAACAGTTATTAAAATAAACCTACCAAACTACATAATACAATGAAATACCTGACTTAAAGTAGGGGAGTTTGATGTGGTGCACAATTGCACCCCTCTGTAATGATCATGAATATTCATGTTACCTCGGCAAAATGCTTGCCTATACTAAATGGAAAAATTACGGTGGGGGGGGGGGGGGTTGGCTGAAATGGACATAATGAACCGATCAGAACTGATCTATGATAATTCATGCTTGTTATCCTTCGTGTGCTTGACCTTTAACCTCACAATCGCGTGTCAAGTTGCGTCCAAAGTTCGACTTGTATCACATGTGTTATGTAGGCAATGGCGAGCTAGCGACCTATTTTGACCAAATTACGGGGGTGAACTTTCAAAAGTCAATGGGACATGAGGGTTCCAAAGAAAGAGCTAGTATCAACGTACGTCGGTGTGGATGTGCTTTCCATTTAAACAAAAAATAAATTTTTAACGTTTTTTTTTTTTTTTTGGGGGGGGGGGGGGGTAAAAGTCAGTAGGCTAACATGTTAGGCTGCTGGACTCTGGCGATAGGGGGCGTTGTCTAATGAGTCTATTCGGAGCCATATGTCTCTAAAAAACACAAAAGGCACAATTTTGCTAGGCCACCAATACCTTTGACACTTTATAATGATGAAAATGCCATTTGCAATCTGAATATTATACATTACACAGAAGATATAAGAACTACAAAATTACCGTCTCATTCCCCGAATATGGGGAATTTTAAATTCTTGGGGTTATCCGTTATCCACACCCCCCGCATATGGTGGCACGATAATAAAATTATTGTTGTATTTGATGTTACACAAACGTATGGTAATATAAAATAATTGGTGAATCTTCTCCTGGTTACCTCATTCTCTTACCCCCCCCCCTCTGACAATCTAATACAACAAAATTGCGTTATACATCGTACTTACAACTAGTTCAGTCACATAAAGTTTTAATTGAAAAATAATAAACTCATAATTTTTTTATAGAAATAACGAAAAATGCTGTACTAAAATATTTTACCGGTACCGTTACTATACCAGTGGTGGAGGGAGAAATGATGCATTTTATTAATTATTTCCTATATCAATATCAACCATAGCTATTTAAAACTGACAACTGTTTAAATATGGCACAAGTTGTGGCTTGTCAATGTCATTGAGGGGAAATAAGGTAATTTGGATTTTGGTAATAACCTGGGATACTATGTATTATGATTCATCAACAAATGCATCATTTCCCCTACTAGTGAAGAATCTGGTCGTTAGCTTTCAAGCCGCCGAAGATGGCGTTATCAGTTATCAACGAAGTCGCACGCCCAGCCCAAGATTTTGTTTTCACCAGGCGTATAAATTCGGGGATTACGTCATCTTCGCGTTGCAGCAAATAGGGAGAGATCGTTTGTGGAAAAGATTATTAAAATCAAATCGGCCAGATTTAGGACCACCACTCCTACTCTACCGGTAAACTTTGTTATTTCTCTGAAAAAAACACGAAATTGCTATTTTCCGAGAAAAAAAATGTGTGGAATGCCTGAACAGGGGATTCTGTAAAAAAAAATGGTGAGGTAATGTTCTCACCAAATTCGGACAAGACAAATAATTGAAGATATTTTTTTTTCAGGTGCCTTTAGAGTTTACAGTTTGAAAGGGTGCACAATGAAGGCACTTGTGGGCTAAATTTGGGCACCCACCCGTTGTGCCCCAATAGCATGGCATTAATCCTTTTCTTTCTCCCTTTCTTTTCTTGGCGGATCAGCCAAAGTGGAATTCAAGTCATTCAATCACCTAAGAGGATTAGAGCTAGGCTACAGTCACCGTCAAAGATCACGCCTGTAAAATTGGATTATAGCCTTTTAAACTCCTGAAAGACTGTAAACACTATTATGTATTTCAAGCTGAAAGACCTCGGTTAATCGATTCACTTGAACCTCGACGAACTTTCCTGTTATCTGGCTTTATAAACAAACAAACAAACAACAAATCACGTCAACAAAGACAGATGAAAGAATGTTGACGAAAATCTCAGGAAAGCCTTGAAGAGTTATGGAAGAAGAATTCGTCGAGCAAAAGCAGTACAGTAGGGACTTTTAGATTTGCGTGGACTGATACGTGTGACGTCCATTCAAGGCAGTGCATTAAAAGGACGTCGATCGTAGCAATCCACCTTGCCGTTGTGCAAATCTAAAAGTCCCTATTAACACGGCGTTCTCGACAGATCGAGTAATCACATTTTAAAGGCGTCTGCCACCAAATAGATTAGACCTCAAACCCAGCGATATGTCAAAAAAGTGCAGGGTGTTTGATGAAAAGTTAGAAAAAGGTAACATACCAAATAAAAGACTGTGACGGAAAGTCGCCCTGCTGGCGGTACTAACAATTCACTGATCATACTTTATCGTCGTATCTATAAAACCATCTTGAAGAAAAGAGCTTTGTCCCGTAGTTGAAAAGAAGATCTTAGTGTAGCCAACTGGAGCGACTTTCTTTAGAGAGTGGGCTGAGATTTCTCCTTGCAAAGAATTATTTCCTTCCTTCTAAAAAGAAAGAAGAGGGAACTCTAATTTGGGGTCGAAGTTGTTATGAGACTAGCCATGAATTGACACAAAATATTATGTCATTTCACTGTACTATGAAATTAATTGATTTGTCCAACTATTTCCTCTCGCTTCCTTATCCTTTCGACTGACAAATTGTTCAATGATAAATAGGATCTATAACAACGATTAAATGAGATCAAAGAAAGTATTACAAAAGAGTACCCACTAACATTTACTTAGAGCAGAACACCGACGAAGTATTCATTGACTGCTGGAAGTTATGTATTTCCATGAAAGAAAGGAAAATGAAAAACGAAAAAACGTTGTGCAAAATTATATGGAAGAATAATCACGAAGGAAAGATAGCAGACTAACATGAGATATTTGTTTTTAACTTACCTTGGTGCATCGATTATTTGAAACAAATAACATTTCTTTGTGCAAATAGGCCTATAGGCCTATGTAGAAAGATAATAATTAAAACAGAACGCGACTTTAAGCGTAAGTTGTTTTAAAGCATAATAGAAGTTATCATTGACCTGAAATCATTTGAACACAATTTTTTATCTATACAGTAGATTTGTTTGCGTTTGAATACTTTGCTCTGACACGCTCTACCTATATCGATTTCAGCCACTCCTAGGATAAACCCAAAGTCCGGAACGGGGACTTATCTCTGGCATATAAAAGGAACTGTCACGGGTCAACATGACTACAGTGCACCAGGTATTGCTACCAGGGGAGGCAGATGGCGGGGATTCACCACGTCTCTCGATAACAGACGACACTTATCACCTCTTAGCGAACACTAGCAGACGACATACTCTAGTGGGTGCAAACAACGAATCCGCTATGCCGCGTACGGAGAACATCGAGGAGCGGTGCGTTGTTACGAACGAAATAAACACGCAGAAATCTGAGGAAAGTTCACCGCGGGAACAGACGGCAGAAACATCGTCGCAGCAAGCTCAATCTTCGCCAGACGGTATAATAGGCACCGATAGGAACGCGAACATGCACCGGACGACCACGGCAGGAACGAAGACGAGGATCCCGTCGGAAACGGGTTCCGAGTCATTCCACAACAGCCGGCATAATGGAATCAGACTTGATATAAAATCGAACTGCGACGAAAAGCCGATTTTAGCCGAAGCGGATTATAAGGATTCAAAGACAAGAAAGAATTCGCCCTTGATTGGGAGTAACATTGCAAGGACCGTTGGTAAGCTGGCAGCCTGTTTTCTGTGTGGAATAATCTTCGGAATAGCAGCAGAAAAGGGAAGAGGTAAGATTGTAATCCACAACATTTGTCATTAATTTTTATAAAGAAAATGTAAACTGTACACACGTAACAACAAGTAGAAAACTATTTAGAAATAATGAACATTAGGATAGCATTGATATTTAACCAGATCTTTATAACAATTCATGTTGCATAATTTCATTTTCCACGAACAGTTGACATAAATGTGTCAAATAGGATCCACGGACCATGAAGAAAACTATTCGGAGATATAAGCCTATATATCCAACTTTGCTAGGTTGGCCATAATTAATATTCTTTGGATAAAAATGGAATTCAGAAGAATTGAGGCGATTTTGGAAATTCACAAAATGTGAATGTTTTATTTGTGCTGAGCCATAGCCCTTTTCGACGTAGTAGGACATATATTGCAGGTGGGAAACGTTTTCAGCTATAGAAATAGAAAAGAAAAGGTTTTCGAGCTCACCAAGCCGAATCGATACGGCATCAGGGAATCATGTGAGGTTGAATGGTTAAGGACACTGAGAATGGATCAAACACAAAGAAAAAAGCCAAACAAAAACAAAGCGTCTACCAAAACATGGTCGCTTCCAAACGAGTTTTTGCCTTCAGCAAAATATGTAGAAAATAGAGTGACACTCCAAATACGCAAATATATCGCCAGAAAACAGAAAAGTTACAATAAAATCATTAGCTACAATGACTGAAATAAATAAATAACGTATATTAATGGAATTAGTTCTAGTCGGCGAGCAAGATCTAAACATGTCAAAATCCCCAAAAGCTGTATGAATTACGTCTAAAAGACGAAATATTTACTCGACTACTTACTGGCACACAAGTGATGTTTTAGGGGGAAGGGTATGTTGACATTTGCACAAGAACGCAAGCTCGTCTCCACATCCATTTGATTTTATTTGTTTGTTTACTGTTGAATTTATAGAAGATTTACACAGAGGAAGGTCATGACGACTCTGCAAAAATACCTTTTTTCTGGAGGTCTTATCTTCGTTGGTCATTAATATTTCGGTCTTATCGCTGAGATGAATGTTGTTTTGGTGTGATAAAGATTTTGGACTTGATGCTTGTCGCATTAAAAAGAAAAGGATTTTTCAAAATGCACTTGTTTATCGCCTATTTAAAAAAAGCATTAGTAATGCTCGTCTTATAATTGAAATTCGTCATGTAGTCAAGCCTGTATAAATAATCATGATCAAATACTAATTTCCCTTGAATACGAGAATGGAATATATATACAGGAATTAGAAAAAAAATGTTTGTAATATCCTGTAATATGATGGAATGATCCTTTATTGGAAACAGTGATAAAAACCACACGATAATTATTTCCACATATGTTAAACCATAGAGAGAGAGAATAACTGAACAAACAAACACACAAACAAACAAATACACAAAACATATATTATCCTCATTTGCTGATGGTTAGGTCAGTCAAAACAATCACCTTGATATGATAAATGTCTTGAGGTTTAGTTTTGACTTTCACAAAATAGATTATGATCAATGTAATGTAAACGAACTAAGGGTTACAAATTGAAACGAGATGTGCATAATTCGTTTAAAACCGTCCTCCATGAATAAATAGGCCCGCTTCGGTTGGTGAATAAGTGAGAAAAAATAATGAACAGTAAAAGTTAAGCAGCCGTTAGAAGATGTAAATACATACGTAAATGACATTCTTGGATAGAAGCTGTTGTATAAAGTACTGTAATATGAGGATAAAATCGTAGTATATTGCGAAATGTATACTGCTTTCGTTATTATTCTCTGAAATCAATTCGCAATAGGCATATATTTATTTCCACGACAGTTACCAAAGACTGTTTTTATATGTCTATTCCTCATACTGTACATATTTACATTGAAATATACATGTATGTGTTGATCATGCAAACTTTGAACTCTTTCTTACGAGCATTTGTTTTGCTCGTAAACATTAACGTCAAGGTTATTTTTCTCCTGTAATAGAATAGGCTAGGCAGCAGCACAGGTACACACTATAAGGTGAAAGACGCTCACTTAATGAACATGTTAATGATTCAACGTACAATAATTTGTAGCGCACTTTACATCATATAGAAAGCTAGTTTATTTGGCAGTTTAGACCATTCTACTAATTATTTGGTCCTGTGACCCATGGTAGTCACATGGTTATTGTTTGCTTGTTTCCATTACCATTTCAATAATAAAAGAGATAATATATACATGGTACATCATTAGATATATATAAATATGGCGGGTAGCCCTTTCAGCGGAATTTGTATGATGCCCTGTACTTTCATGGGGTCATGAAGTCCTGTATTTAATTCCCACGAGCCCTGTTATATTTATGTTAATTTGGTGAATGTCTGTAGGTCGATCAGGGTCAGTCGCTTTGGGATTGCATGATTTATTCATTATTCAACCACAGGAACATTACTTATACAATATCAACGATATAAATGATCAAATTAAAACCAGACAGTGCCGGCAAAAATCCTCTTAGAATTTCAAAAAAGCAAGGACCCGACATTTGGAATTCTATTTGACATGTTTGAAACTAACTACGTAACAAAAATATTGCGTATTATAAACTAAACATGATTCTATTTATCTAGTTGCCCCGATAGGGATATATAGGCTTTCAATGGTAGAAGGTTACCATTGCAAAACAGAGTATACCTCCTTTTTTTGTAATCATAACCATTATTATGTTGTGAGATAAATAGGTCGACAGATTATCTATGTTACTTTTGTATTTTTGCTTTTTCTTCTAATTTAATTCTACGGGTTATAGTCTTCTCTTAATCAGAACACTGTGCGCTTAGAAACATCAGTATTAAGCGCCTAATAAATGTTATGTATTATTATTATTATTAGATTGATGGTGGGAGAAAGAGAGCGAGAGAGAGAGAGATAGAGATAGAGAGAGAGAGAGAGAGAGAGAGAGAGAGAGAAAGAGGGAGCCAGAGACGAAGGGGAGAGATAGAGGGAAGGGCAGAGAGAGCGAGAGAGATAAATAGAGGAGAGATAGAGGGATAGGTAGAAAGAGGGGCAGAGAAACAGAGAGAGAGAAAGAGAGAGAAAGAGAGAGAGAGAGAGAGAGAGAGAGAAAGAGGGAGCCAGAGACGAAGGGGAGAGATAGAGGGAAGGGCAGAGAGAGCGAGAGAGATAAATAGAGGAGAGATAGAGGGAGAGATAGAGGGAGGGGCAGAAACATGAAGAAGACTGGAATATAGGGTACAAAAAGAACCCTGCGTGTATACATGACATGAAACCTGTATTTCACAAGGATACGGTCAAAAGTTCAACACAGATAATAACCATTCATATACATCATGTTAAATTATATGATATTAATTATGAAAAGAATATCATACCACACTCGCAGTGGGACATGTAATACACGTTAGCACCTGAACAGTTGGATTGCTAGACATTTTGAAAACAACATTATGACTTCCTCTTGACTAATTGCATGACAATATGTTTCTATCGAAAATATATTTTTAGACATGACCTTGGCTTGTGTTGTGAACCGTGCATGGGTGATGACATGCATTTTTGGCAGGTGGAAAGACCCTTTTAAGCACCGTTTTATTATCATTATTGTTATAATATTATTTCTATAATATTATTTCATGTAGTTCCCAGTTTCGCCGCCATACAACCCCCTCCCCTATCCTCTCCTCTAAACGCCTGGAAAAGCCAATATATAAACTGCAAGGGGTCTCCGACTCGCGTTTCTGCAAAGATACCCCCACCCGAACACCATCCAAGAGGACAAATTTCCCCATAGGAGGATGATCCCCACTACCTCTTTTTTCAATTTCTCGATACACCATCAGTTCTTTCTAACCACCTTTTATTTTTTTTAAGATAACGATTAAAATTCTCGTTTTTTTTTTCTTCCTGCAACCCGTGAGATGAGAGGATGCACACAAAACAAATCTTCTCGTATTGAATGTATAATATTGCAATTATTTCTTAATCTGAATTCAGAAAAGGAAGAAATAAATGCAAATTGACAGAGAATCACTTCCTCCTCGTGTATAGGACTTAAAAATAACTACTGGAACTACTCCCTCCTCCCAAGAGCCCATTTCATTCAGTACTCATTTTGTAAAAGCACCAACATGGTTGCCCCCCTCCCCCCCCCCCAGTGAGAAAATGCCTCCTATTGCCATCATAATACATCTCATTAACTCGATAATAACAACAATTGCTGTCTCGCGTTATTAGTTATTACCGTACGGCGCTGGTGTTACTGTGCTATGAAGCTCTGCTATATTGCATTTCCACCAGAACAATAACTGAATGCTCCCCCGTATCGTATCGTATCGTCGGGACTTTAATGCCTATACAGTTTGCCAAAGAGAGCGGAATGAACAAAAAGCAAGCGTCCGATCGAAATATGGACAAAGGAAACATAAAATTAGGAACTTCCGTCAAATATTTGCAATAATTAGCTAAGGGAATGACTGAATTAGAATATCAACGATATGGCTTAGAATTTTTTTTCTTCCAAACACTGTAACATCAAGGCCAATTTTTTGTATTGAACAGTAGCGAAAAGTGCATTTGCTGTTTGCTGTTTTTTTTCCTTCGAATTTAATGTATTAAATAATTAATTAATTCATGTGTTTATTGTTTTAAAATAAATTTTGTATTTACAACTTGTGAGGTGGAGCATCCTGATCAGATAATACATGTTGTTGTTCACCAACAATATTACCCCCCCCCAATCAACATGTAAGTTTACAAGAATGATAACTCTGGGATATCATGCTTCTCTGGCACGGTAGGGGGGGGGGGGGTTCAGTAGTTTTTTTTTACGGTAAGTCAATCGCTCAGAAATTTGATGTATAATTCGGTGTATGTATTATCAACACTGTTACTGTGTATACAGCAAACTTTGCTCCTGCAGTATCCAGTATGACAAGCAAGCGAGCAAGAAAATAGAGTTGTGATTGACTTGTTTGACATGACAAAGAAAAATATTAAAAATGTATTATTTT